CATTGACCTATATGGCACTTATGGATTCACAAATTCTGCCAAACCAAGTTATCCCACATGGCTTATGTGCTGTGCTTTCAGATATTTCTTTGATCTGTTTTGTCAACAAGTACGGATTTATCTTGGAACAGGAAAATGTTCATTTCGGTCAACTAAGAACCATGTGTTTTATCAGATTTTCACTTTTAGAGACAAATTCTGTTTCAGGGCATTAGTTTCTCCCTTCTGACTTGGCTAGCTCTAGAGTGAAACTCTTGTCTTCACTGTGATATCTCAACAAGAGATTCTGCCTAAATAGGCCTGATTATTTTTTTCTTCAGCGGTTTTAATAGTGTAACTGCACACAGTTAGAAGTTACTACATAGCACTTGGCATATAGCCTAGTTTATTCTGAAGGTAAAAGCATTAGAGCAAAAACATATTAAAAATAATCCAAGAAACTACAAATGTGCTAATATGCTTATCAGAGATCATCCTAACCCTAAAATGGAAAAGAAGCAATGGGCTTAAATTTCAGCATGAGAGGTTTAGATTGGACATCAAGAAAAACTTCCTACCTATCAGAGTAGTTAAGCACTGGAATAAATTGCCTGGGGAGATTTTGGAATATTCATCATTAAAGTTTTTTAAGAGCAGGTTAAAAAACACTTGTCAGGAATTATCTAGATCAGCGTTTTTCAAAGCGAGCCACAGGACTGCTTTGGGAAAGCTGCTAGCTGGCCATGCCACTTTGTTTATCTAAAAGCTCTGTGGCCATGGTTTAAAACCAGGCTATTTATCAAAAATTTTCTCTTGGTCTGTTGGTTCCTAGATAAGTTATATACCATTCCGTAATAACACATACACAACTGAATTTGTAATACAATGGACCCCCAGCTTCAGTAAGATTTAACTACATTCACTAGAGTTCCTTAATTCCATAAGGTTTGTCCAGAACAGTGTTTCTCAAACGGTGCTCTGCGGAGCCCCAGAGCTCCATGAGACATCTCCAGCGGCTCTCTGGGGTTGACAAACTGGAAACATTGAAAGGTACAACACATACAATCAGTGGACCACTGGGGCTCCGCATAAGTACAATACATACAATCAGTGGACCGTTAGGACGTCACATAAATGTTTGCGCATGTAAAGGGCTCCCAAGCCCAAAAAGTTTGAGAACCACTGGTCCAGAATATTGTCAGTTTGTTGCAGGCCTAATAAAATGTTTATTTAGGTTCATTGATATTAAGGCCAGAAGGGATCATTCTGATCATTAGTATGAGGTCCTGAATAGACAGGCTATAGAATTGCACCAGCTGATTCCCACATCAAGCCCACAACTTCTGATTGTGGTAAGAATATTCGAGCATCTCATTTATATACAATAAATTGCACTATATACCTGGAAAAGGCAGAAAATCAGATGGCTTAATTTCAAGGCAACTGTCAGTTGAATTAGATTTAGCGGGTAGTGCATCTAATCTGGTCAATAGAGAGAGAGGAACCTGGCAGTGACTGGTTTTTCTCCATAGGCTGAATCACTACAATGCACTGTCACAGTGTATTACCATTTTGCCATTTCAGATCAGCAAGTCAGACAACAACATGCGTTTCTGAAGTGGGTAAAATGTCCCAATCCTCCAGTCAGCTGCAGTGCCCTGAACCCTCATAGAGTCCTGGCATGGCCAGGTAAGGAGGCAGGGTGTATCCCTAGCAGAGCTCTCATTGCAATGATTGGGGCCAAAGTGCTAACAAGTGAACAAGTCTGCTTGAGAAGATAAAATACTGCAGCTGGCAAATGCACAGCAAAACCATAGACCCCTGTTTGATATTTTTCTGGAACTCATACATTTCTGTATTCTTCCTCTTCCACTGGGCTGTTTCCACACAAGTTGATGGAAAAACTCCCATTGACTTGCAAAGGAAGCATAATAGAGCCCATAGTGCTTTATTGAAAGCAAACGTGACCTATATTTAGTCATTCCCTTAAGTAACACTATGCTCAGCATGAAGTAAGTAGTATGAACAGGCATGTAAAACACAAGGGAATAGGGAAGTCTGAACCATTTTGCAGGCAAATCTTCAACACTTAACAATCCCCCAGAAATCTTATGAAGGATTCTCTTATGCACTGGATCTGCAATTTGGTAAAACATCCCATAAAGATTTCCTCTGTACAATAAGGTTAAGATACCTTCATAAGGTTTTATTTGAAGTATGCTCTTGCTTTATAGCATTTGTTTATAATAGGTTTAATAGGTGACAATAAGAACATACCTTCAAATAGCATAAGTCATTTCAATTCATTTTAACACAAAAATTCGAGTTCATTTATTGGCTTCAAGAATAGTTTCTTGGTTGTTTATTTTCAATTTAGCATGGTTTCAATTAGTTCAGATCAATTTTGGCTATTCTATTTTGAAAATATCTGGCAATGTCCTTAAAAGATTGATATTGTCACCAATTAGGTTACATAAATGTGTGGTGTTCCCATTATACTCACAGACAGTATCTACACTCAGGGTTTTAAATAGCAACTAATTGACTAATCAAATAGTCAATGCATGCATTGACTATTCGATTAGTCCATAGGGCAGTGGTCTCCAACCTTTTTACACCCAAGATCACTTTTTAAATGACAGACCAAGCCAAGATCTACCGCCTTGCCCTTTCCTTGAAACCCAGCCCCTTCCTTGAAGCCCCACCCTCTCTATTCCCCTCCTCTCCATCACTTGCTATCCCCAATTCTTATACTGCTGCTTTTTTTAAAAAAAAAAAATTCTTCTGTAGGAAGAGGTTTTTCCAACATTTGGCCTGTCTAGACTGGACCAAATGTCAGAAAAAAACCCTTCTTTTGGAAGCCCCCTTATTCCTCGTGGAAAGAGGAATATTGGGGTGATCGAAAGAGCATGTTTGATCTTCCACTAAAAAAAAGCAGAAGAACAAACGCAATCCTGGATACAGAAGAGTTTTTCTGGGATATCTCCAGAATCCTGAAAAACTCCTGCAGTCTAGCCAGCCCCTCACTGGGTTGAGACAGGATGTGTAGGCTCTGGGGTGGGAATGAGGGATTTGGGTGTGGGAAGGGGTGAGAGGTGCAAGCTCTGGGAGGAAATCTGGATGCAGGAGGAGGTGGAGAAGGGGACAATGGCTTGGAGAGGGGGCTCCAGGCCGGGTAGGGGTACAAAGAAAGCCACAGGCTTGTGGATGTGAGGGTGCTTGAATTTGGGTTGGGGTATGCGAGGGGCTCAGGACAGGGGGTTCCAGTGTATGATAGGCTCAGATCTAGCATCTGAGGAAGAGTGGGGAGAGAGTCCCCTGCTCCCACCTCTTCCCAGGACTCTCTTCTCCTCCCTCCCCCCAGAGGTGGGAAGCCCTGTCCCATGCCTCCTTCGGGGCCGGTGCACACCTCCCACAGAGCAGGGAAGCCCCCATCGCATGCCTCCTTCGGGGCCGGCACATGCCTCCCACAGAGCAGGGAAGCCCCCGTTGTGCACTCCCTCCCATGGAGCAGGGAAGCCCATGCACACGCCCCTCCTGGTCTGACCCCTCCCTCCCGTGGAGGAAGTGAACTTCCCGTAGAGCAGGGAAGCCCCCGTTGCGCACACCCTCCGGGCCTGACTCCCCTCTCCTGCAGAGAAGGGAAGTCCCAGCGCGCACCTCTGGGGACTTCCCCAGTAAGTTCCTGGCATGCCACAGACCTGGGGCAAGGAAGCAGCCAGCGCATTTCTGGAACCCTTGGAAGTGATGTGCAGCTGCAGGAGGTGGGGGGGAAATAAGGGGCCCAGAACACCTCGCGATCGACTGGTCAAGGCCTTGTGATCAACGAGTCGATCGTGATCGACCTGTTGGTGACCACGGCCATAAGGCGATTCTGCCTTTGAAACATTGCAACAGCCCTAAGGTTTAAATGCTGCCCAGATGATTAGCAGAGGACACACAGCCTCCCGCAGCATGTATTTCATAGAATACTAAACTGAAAGAGACCTTGAAAGGTCATCAAGTGCAGTCTTCTGTCCTCATGGCAGAACCAAGCACCATCTAGAATAGATCATCTCTGATAGATGACTATCTAATCTGCTCTTAAATAGCTCCAGTGATGGAGATTCCATAATCTCCTTAGACCATGGGTTCTCAAACTGGGGGGCATACCCCCCTGGGGTGCCATGAAGAAATTCCAGGGGGGGTGTGAGGCAACCCAACCCCTCTCCCATAACCTCTCCCCTCCAAGTTTTGCAGCTATTTTTGTTTTTTTGGCCCAGGTCAGTTCCTTTTTTTTGCTCAACAAGTTTTGCTGCTTGCGGGGTGCGGGGGTGGGGACTGTGAGGGTTTCTCAAAAATCAAAAAGGGGGCATGATGCCGAAAGCTTGGGAACCACTGCCTTAGACTTTATTGCAGTGTTTAACCACCTTAACAGCTAGGATGTTTTTTCTAATATTTAATATGTCTAATATTTATATTGGGGGTGCACATCTGCACATCCCTTTGTGCACATAACAAATTTTATTCTGCACATGGATGGAAAAAATTAGAGGGAATATTGCTCACACCACCCTTTGTGACCCAGCCCTGTGGCCTTAAAAATATCCCAGTGCCAGGAGTACACTGGTACTGAGTTTCAGCTGGCCTGATCAGTTCAGTGTACTCCATTCACTTACGTTGTAATCTGTATATAACAGATCTCATGTGAGGTGTCATTGAAAACCCAATAACAATAATCATTAATATTCTTGCATGTTATATGAACACTAAATGCCCAAAGGACTGTACAAATATGAAGAAAAATCTGGACTGAGATATGTTGGAACCAGACAAGTCTAAGGAGCAGGTAAACATGTTTTTTCCAGACAAAGGAAAGGTGAAAGCCTCTATCCAGGTGCAATCAAAGACAACTGGTAATCACAGTCAAGTGGCCATTAATTAGCATTTCAAAGGCTGCAGGGACAGACCATTTTGCATTGTAGAAAGCAAAAGCACCAGCAAGGAATCCTCTCCTTCAGACTTCACAGTATCTTGTCACAACAGGGGTTGTTGAACTTTGATAGGATATGTTTTTAAAAGTTCACTGGACTAGAAAAGAGACGGAAAGAACGCCATGTTTTCTTTCACCTAAGATGACAGAGGACTTTGTAGGAGATCATGTAAAGAAGGTGGACAGCCATCTTGCTGGAAAGAGGTGTGGTAAGAATCTTACCTTGATCCAAGCAGGTAGTTTTGTTAAACCTTAGCCACTTGAAAGGATTTTTCACTTGCTTGTAGCCCATTCTGATTTTATCCCTTATACTAAAACTCACTTAAAATCCTCTCTTTGGTGTTTTATTTTTAATCTAAACCAACCCACAGCTATGTTTAAATTGAAGTTAAAGGAACAAACTGCTGTGGTTTTGTCTCTTAAAAAGAGCAATGGACCTTACTACTTCTCTAAATGTTGCAGAAGGGGCTATACATTTCAAGGGAGATGGTTTGGGGAAAATTCAGCATGGGGATGTGTGTTGGGGTTACCTGAGTAGTAACTAAGGCTTGTGGGCACTCAAGTGTGGCTGCCATGTAACAAGCAGGCTGCAGGATTCAGAAGAGTTGAACCAGTTTTACTTAACACACAGAACTCCATGCATGCTGTCTGAGAGCTTTCGGACAGGGAGCTGTTACAGCAGATAATTTTATGACACTTTGGGTTATACCCTAATTGTGGTGTGTCTACACTACAGCTTTATTTTGAAATAGTTAATTCAAAATAAGTTATTTTGAAATAATGTCTACACACAAAATGCATTTCAAAATAGCATATTGCTATTTTGAAAAAGCATGTCTGCACTTAGTGGACGCTGAATCGCATTTAAGGCTGTCCCGAACCAGGTCTGGCAGGGCATCAGTTCAGGAGTTTATTTGCGTGGCTGCTGCCTGAGGCTATCTGAGGCCTGTGCTTAAAGGGACTCCCACCCCAGGCATCGGGTTCTCAGCTTTTCCTGCTTTCTTGCCTACCTTGGTGAGGGACAGCAAAGCATTTTCTCTCTGCATGCTCTGGTTGCCCTCACTCAGGACACCACAGCACTCTGCAACATGGAGCCAGAACTGCCCCTGGGCACTCTGGTGCTTCTCGTGGATGCGTTGCTGTGAGCCTGGCTGCACTTTCTGCAGGCTGCCATCCGAGAGGTCCATTGGGGGGCTGTCAGTATCCAGGAGGTCCTGCGGGAGAGCTTCCACCTTGAGGAGCACTAAGAGCTTCCCTGGTGTGCCCCACTGGGGGCTTGTGCCTCATTCCTCCCTCACGTCCTTCCACTTACCCCTCCCTAACCCCTCACCCCCTTCCTGATGTCAAATAAAATAAATGTATTTTCATGAACACAAACTCTCTTTATTTAACAAAACTGGGGGGGGGGGAACTATGGTGAGACTGGGGAAAGGAGGCTGGAGAGGGGAGAAGAGAGTGTGGGAAAGGGGAGAGGGAAACCTGGGAGGAGGGAAAAATGACACCCTGCCTCCTCTTGACTCTCTTTGACCTTGAGTCAGAATTAATAGCCCCTCCTCTTTCCAGCCTGCCAAGCAAGAGTCAGCAGAAATATCTTTGCTCCTTTAAGCAGAGTTGGACCATGTTACAGTAGGATTAATCAGCATAGAAGCCGCATGTCATAAGAACATAAGAACGGCCGTACTGGGTCAGACCAAAGGTCCATCTAACCCAGTATCCTGTCTGCCGACAGTGGCCAGCACCAGGTGCCCCAGAGAGGATGGACCAAAGACAATGATCAAGTGATTTGTCTCCTGCTATCCCTCTCCAGCCTCTGACAGACAGAGGCCAAGGACACCATTTTATCCCCTGGCTAATAGCCTTTTATGGACCTAACCTCCATGAAATTATCTAGCTTCTCTTTAAACGCTATTATAGTCCTAGCCTTCACTGCGTCCTCTGGCAAGGAGTTCCACAGGTTGACTACACACTGTGTTAAGAACTTACTTTTATTCGTTTTAAACCTGCTGTCCCTTTCCAGAATCCTAAAACCTACTACTTATGTTAGTGAATGACAGGTGAAGTAAAGTCTGACATATATCCCCTTGCCATCTACAGCAAAATAACTGTCTTTTAAAAATCCTAACTAAATGGTACCAATTTTTCTCAGGTCTAGCAACATGTTATAGGCTCATGTTCAGCCACAGCTAAAGAAGCAATGCAGAGTTGTTTTAGCAATCAGTGCACACCTTGCTCCTTGTCTAGGTGATGGGAAGTTTGTTGGGACAAGAGGTTGTCTGCTTCTTTCTTCCTTAGCTCTGACTAGATCAGAGGTGGGGAACCTAAGGCTTAGGGGGCCAGATCCAGCCTCTGGTCTGGCCTGGATCCAGCCCTGAGGCTTGGGGCTCTCTCTCCCCAACATTGTTCCAGCCCCATGTTCCCTCTCACAGCTTCTCACTAGTGGCCCCTGACTGATTTTTTTTTGTGAGTCAGAGGCCAGGACCTAAAAGAGTTCCCCACCTCTGGACTAGATCATTCTAAAAATCAGCTACGTGTGAATAACAAAGGTTACTGAATGTTAAGAGCCATAGCATTGCAGCCTGATGGACTGAAATACAATAAATGAGAGAGCACCTTGGTGCATTTGCTCTAAAAATTCTCACTTTGTTTGATCCTGGCAGCATGTTTCTAATTGCGTCATTTGGTATTATTAGCAATGATACAAAGCTTTTGTGTATGGCCAACTGACAAGTGTTTAATCTTCTTGCTTTAAAATAAGTAGTTCTGTTTTTTTCTTTAGTATGTCTTTTCAGATAATGAAAATGGTAGGAGGCATTTATCTGGTTTTGATGTTCACAGTTATATGCATTATTGCTTAATTAATAGCATTATGTGTCTGAACAGTGAAATTGCTCCCCCAGTGAAAACTGGATTCTACAATACAGTAAATCAGGGAATACATCCAAGCCAAATGAAAGGAATGAGAAGAGGCTGCTGTGAAAAAAAAATCTATCTGTAGAATAGTTCTTTAAATATTGGTGTTGTGTAAATGTCCATGGAAACATGCTCTGTTGTAAACCCATAAGGGATGCTGGCAAGGGAGACATCAAAGGGAACAAAGCATTCTGTGTTGTCGTCAGAGAGTTCCAGCTGACTGCAATGCTCCCAGGTGAATCAGATATAAACAACTATCAGTTTCCCCCAGTCACTCTAAATCAGACATTAAATCCTAGGACACCAGCTGACCTAAACTCATCAGTAAGGAAACAGCAGGGTTGATACAAAGAGCTAATCATTTTACAACTATAATAAATGGAAATTTGTTTGTGAAGAGTCCATTAAACACAGTATCATGGTTAACCTAGCTCAAACTGGCAGTGCCCATCTTAATTTTTTCTTTAGATTTATTTTAAAAAGGTAACTTCCACCAGGTGCAGGCTACATCTAACATACCTAATGGCACATATAAATTGACCACTTGTCAGAGGCAAAAAACAAGGTTCATCTGATAACCAAGCCTTTTCTTTTCCTCAAGCCAATGCCTTAGAAAAGAATTGGGTCTTACATGATGCCATGAATGCCAGCAGATTAATTCGCTATCAGACCCTCTAGGAGAAAGAATTCAAGAGTCAACTATCTCACTGAGAATACATGGCCCTTTTACACCAGAAAACGTAGGCTCTGTTCTCTCAAACATTCAAGCAGTGGCAGATCTTGTGAGACAGACAAATCTATAATAGCCCAACCCATACAAAGCTTTATAGACCAAATTCAGCACCTCTAAGGAGATTCATTTGTATGTTGTTGATAGAAGTATTTGAACAGTGTTTGTGCTGTGCTACAGCTTAGCATGCTTATATATAAAATCACACAAATATGTAAAATATTGTATATAAAAATCTTAACCAGCTCCTCCACAAACATATTTTTGTTCAATAATCAACATCCCAAGTTACATGCATGCTAAAGTTATCACTGCCTTATATTTTCAGTGACTATCAGCTTCTAATTTTGTATATTAAGAACCAGCCTACTCATATTTAGTAACTAGCTGATTCACATGGTATGAGTTCTTAAAACCGATCTCATATTTAGTCATTAGTACATCAAATGCTTTCTGAGAATGTACACTTAGAAATAATGGAATCAAAACTTTGCAACAGATTTTAAAAATTAGCTTGTTTCGTAGGGTTGCCAGATGGTTTCAACAAAAATACCGGACACACTTGACATTACATCACAATCTACATTACATCTTATTTAGAAAATACCGGACATTTATATTTTCTCATTTATGTTTTCTCAAGTTGTTTCCCAAACAGAAACCTCAAATACTGCACTGTCCGATTCAAAACCGGACACCTGGCAACCCTATTGTTTTGTGATTTCTGCAGCAATACCATATCAATTTAAGCCACCAGAATAATTCCTTAATAATGATGTATTTATCTGTAAGCAAAAGCAAGGAGATCTACAGCTCAGAGTTTTCCTCGACTCTCTGGCACTGTCTAAAATGCACAAGCAATTTTCTGAGCCTTTCCCTATGGGACAATGCCTATCACACAGCAACATCTGCTAACGAGCATGTTTCAAAGCTAGCTTTGTACTCCCTCCCCCACTCTCCTTCCCCAGGGATGACTTCACTTGCGGGAAATGCATCCAATATCTTAGCTAATATAGTTAACTAGAAACGGTTTAAAATATGGTGGCAGTGTTATAAACAGGCACCCAGCATTTTTGTACCAACGTGAATGGGGAACATGCTCTTTAGTGTAAAATGACTGTAGCTGACGCACTACTTAGCCCTAGTTCACTGCTAGATACAGACATAGAAGAATTAAGAACAAATTTAGAGTTGACTCCTTCACAGCTCCAGTCCAGCAAAGTGCTGAATTGAAAGCTCAGATTGCTAAACACCATACAGGAAAAGCTCAGTACCTTGCAAAATTGGATCAGTAATTTATATACACAAGGGCAGAGATGGTGGATCAGATCCTCATCTTGGCAGAGCTCTGATTTTCAATGGAGCAGTGATGCTATTTGCCAGCTGAAGATTTGGGCCCTTATTTTCTTCCTTAGATAGCGCTGAGCACACTCTCTGCATAACCCATAATAAAAATAATTATGAACCTGACCAAAGACACCCCATGCTCCTTTACTTTAATTCAGTCTGCAGATTGGCGATATTGCATCTCTCCTTGCTTAACTAAGGGATTAACGCTCAGGACCAAACCCTTTTCTCTCTTACACCTGTGTAGATCTGGTGTTACTCTAGGGACCTCTGTAGCATTACTTTTGATTTACACTGGTGGAAGAAAGAAGAATCAAGATCTCAATATAGACCTTATTAGGTAATGAGTTTGCCTGTAACTTTCCTATTTCAGACAAAAGCCTCTGTTCACATGCTGCACAGATCACAAAGCCAAGGACCAAATGCATGTAGCTTTCTTGATTGAGAGGATCCAGCTATGGGATCAACTTTCAAAGGAAATTTAGATGAATCCAGAGTCTGATCATCTTTAAAGCTTTCTTCTTTCAACTATCATAAGAACAAGAATGTGATACAGAATATCCATAAACCTTTCTATCTGCCTTCCCCACTTAAAGAAAAAAATAATCTCTGTTTTATGTGTACAGATTGTTGCCTAGCTACAATTTCATCAGTTTCTCATTTCAGTATTTATACTATGGACCAAATCCTGACATCCAGCTGAAATGTACCCAGTGAACATCAGGAGAACAGCAATGGAAAGGTGGCATAAAGCTCACTTTTGCATTCCTCTGATTCCATGCCCAGGGATGAGCCACCTTTGACTGCAAATTGCTTCAAGGTGGAGCAAAACTTCATCCCAGATTGCTATTGCATGGGAATATCCTTGTCCCAGACATGCCTCCTTTGCTGTGCCTCCCTTCCTCTGCTATTCCAGCAGCAAGAAGGAGAGGGTGCATGAGCTTGCCTCCTGGCTCTAGGCCACTGCGGGTTCCCCCGTGCAATGGAAGAGGCTGGTTAAGCTATCTATCTGCAGGATGTGTGGCAAGGGCACCATTTTGGGCACGTAGGAGGGGCAGCAGCCATGCGCTCTGAAATGCAGTTTGCTTTTCATCCCATTCCCCAGATGCTAAGGGAGTGAGGGGTAAGTGCTTGCATGCCATGCATTGCTCTCACACTTGGCTGAAGGGACCTCACCAAGCACAGCATGCAAGCACTTTCTCCTCACTCTCTTAGCATCCAGGGAATGGATGAAAAGCTATCTGTGCCCCAGAGCACCCAGCTGCTGTCCTCCTATGTGCCCAAAATGGCACCCTTGATCTGCAGCATCTGAGAATATTATTCTTTATCCTTGTGCCCAACATGCACTGGCCCACATTGAAGGCAGTGGAGAGCCACCCCAGAGAAGCTCCAAGAAGGCAGTTTCTCCTATGGATCCTATGCATTCCCTTTGAGAGCCCTGCATGCTCCTACCCAGAGAGGATGGCTCATGTCCTCAGCCTCTCTTCCATGATAGCTAGAGTCCCAGGGTACATCTAGACTGAAAGCTTCTTTTGAAAGAATCTCTTCCGAAAGAGCTCTTTTGAAAAAGAGCATCCACACTCAAAACCAAGGGTATGTCTACACTACCACCCTAGTTCGAACTAGGGTGGTTAATGTAGTCAATCGAAGTTGCAAATGAAGCCCGGGAAATTTAAATCCCGGGCTTCATTTGCAGCTTCGATTGACTACATTAACCACCCTAGTTCGAACTAGGGTGGTTAATGTAGTCAATCGAAGTTGCAAATGAAGCCCAGGATTTAAATATCCCGGGCTTCATTTGCATCTTGCCGGGCACCGCCATTTTTAAATCCCCGGTAGTTCTGACTCTGTGCCCGTGGCTACACGCGGCACGGAGTCCGAACTACCGGGGATTTAAAAATGGCAGCGCCCGGCAAGATGCAAATGAAGCCCGGGAAATTTAAATCCCGGGCTTCATTTGCAGCTTCGATTGACTACATTAACCACCCTAGTTCGAACTAGGGTGGTAGTGTAGACATACCCATAGAGAGTGTCCAGACTGAAAGAGAGTGTCCAGACTGCATGGATGCTCTTTCGAAAGAAAGCCCTGATTGTTATTCACAGGATGGCCACTAGGGCACCTGAGTTTTTTTCGATTGCCGCCTCTTTTGAAAAATGTCCCTGTTCTGCCTCCACATGCCTTTTTTGAAGAAGCTTTTTTGAAAAAGGCGTTCTTCTTTGTAATTTGAGGTTTACCAATGTCAAAAGTAACCCTGCATTCTTTCGATTTAATTTCAAAAGAATGTGATTGCAGTGTGGATGCAGATGAAGTTTTTTCAAAAAAAGGGCAATTTTTTTCAAAAAAAACAATGTAGCACAGCTATAGCTCCAGCATGTGCAGAAAAGGAATAAATCCTGTGCTAGAATTAGGCACACATTACAACTGTGCTGGGTGGGAAAGCGGGGGAGAGAGAAGATAAAAAATTCAAGCAGGATCATGGTTCAGTTTGACCTGCTAATTCTTTTATGTTTCACTGCAATCTAATCTCCTCATGTATAATGTGGTTATGCTGCTAAAAATGCAGTAATCAAGAGCTTTCTGCTATGCTTCTGAAATGCCAGTGTTAAAGGTTATCATAAACTGCAGATGTTAGTATGTAACATGCCACTTACCTATGTACTGCTAATTAAACGGGTGAAATCTTTGCTGCTCAGTGGGTTAATTCATGCTTTTATCACCACGCTTTTTTTTAAAGATGATACAGGTCACAATTCTGATTGCAGGCAGGTTTTGTGTTGCAGCTGCTCCTACAGAAGTGTAGCACCTGCTTGCTACTGCCCTGCCCCTGCCAATCAAGCAATTTAGGAGTTTAATAATAGATGTTACAAATGAGCCAAGCCAGAGGGCACAAAATCATAGCACACAATCATTGTTTTTGAAACAGATATTTCTCAGAAACTAATCAAAATACAAACACTCCAGAGAAAATGTATGCTAATGTTTCATTTATCTTTCTGTATCTGTTGCATGTGTAATAAAATCAGATCATCTTTCACTCTAGAGGATGACAAGGCTTGGGATCATGTTTTCATCCTATGGAGAAGACCGGAGGAAAATGGCTCCCAGTTTCCACACGGTGACCCAATTTTTCCCATTAAGGAATGCTTTATACACAACTTCTCCTAGACATTGTTATATATTTCTGTGCCAGATGGCAATAATACATTGCATGACACGTGGAAACCCAGTCATGCACAGAGAATTGCTAAAGAGAAGATACTGACTGTGTGGTGGTGGCATTATGAATAATGCTGTGTTAAGAGACATTTTGAATTCCTCTTGCCCATGCCACTATATAAATAGTTCACCACAGCTCTTACGTTTGATGCATTTTTATGTGTCTGTCAACTCTCACTTTTCTATGGTGCTTAGATCAGGGCATTCATTGTCACTGCTCTTAAGATTCTGATGAAAATGTCTTTTCCCCTCCCCCTGATGTAGCAGCATTGTTCATGAAACTGCATTTTACACGGGAACACACGAATAAATGATGTTCCTGGATGCGTTAGTCACATCTTCACGTTCTGTAACAGGAAAGATTACTCATCTTGCACAGTAACTGGAGTTTTTCAAGATGTGTGTACCTGCAGGTGCTCCATTTGAGGTGGTGGTGAGTCCCAACAACATTCATTGGAGATTTGAAGTAGCCGTGTCCATGTGGGTCATGCATGCATAGCAGGTTTCTTACAGTGCTTCACAGCCCAAATCCTCCAGTTCCTTCTCTACCACAGAGTCCCTGCTGCAAACTCCCAAGTAGAGGGGAGGAGGACAGGTAGTGGCACACCCATAGAGACACACATCTCAAATAACTCCAGTTACAGCACAAGGTAATTAACCTCACCTTCTTCTTCAAGTGGTGTCCCTGTGGGTGCTCCACTTTAGGTGACTAGAGCAGTGCCTCTCTGAGGGCTGTGTCGAGGGGACTTCAGATTCATTTGATTCATTGAGGTTAGTACTGTGAGGCCCACTATGACATCAGTTCTGGAGTCCTTTGAGCTTTCATAGTATTTTGCAAATGAGTGAACACAGCCCCAAGTGCTACCTTACAGATTTCTAGTAATGGTATATTACTAAGGAATGCTATAGAGGTTGAAATGGACATAGTGGGATGTGCTCTAATGTACTATGGTGGATCTATATTCCTGATATGATAGCACATTCGAATGCATATGGAAATCCATTTAGTCTCTGAGATGATATGGCATCTTTCTACCAGTGTTCAGTAGTAGAGATGAAGAGTCTAAGGGATTTCCAGAAGGGTTTGATTCATTAAAGATAGAACGCTATAGTCATTCTCACATCTAGAGTGTGCAGGGTAGCCTCTGTTGAGTTACTATGAGGCTCAGAGCAAAATGTCAGGAGGTGAATAGGTTGATTCATATGAAATGCTGAGGTTATTTTTGAAAAATGTTATGTATGAGGGGCATTTATGGCTGATCCTCATCTTACTAACCCTTCTGGCTGAGGTAATGGTGACCAGGAATACCATTTTCATCAATAAGTAGAATAACGAACAGGTGGTCTGGTGATTCGAATGGTGGTCTGGTGAGGCATTTCAGTACTAGGATGAGATCCTGTGTTGATGTAGGACATCATTTAAGAGACCCTTGAGGAAGAGTTTTGTAGTGGGGTGGGAAAACATCGAAGTTCCATTAGTCTTGCAATAAAATACTGAAATTGCCACAAGATGGACGCTGATCAAGTTAATCGTTAAGCCAGTTTTTCATCTCCAATAGGTAGTCTAAGATCAATGGTAGTGGTGCTGAATCACTTATCAGGTGTCTTCCTTAGCACCTGGCAGAGAAACACTTCCATTTTTTAAGGGAAGTATTTCTCATAGTCAGTTTCCTGCTGTTCAGTAACACGTTTATCTTGTTCTGAGCAGGTTATTTCATCACAGTGGAACCATTTAGGAGCCAGGCCTGTAGGTAGAGTATCTCCAGGTTTGGGTGGAGAGTGCGACCGTTGTGTTAAGGCAGTAGATCCAGCACACAGGGGAGAGCTCATGAGGCACAAATCATTATGAATAACAGGTGCCTATGTAACCCATACACCTATGGGATGTGGTTCATAGTCCCATTTAGTGGCACTTAGACCACTTACAGTGAGAGATAAGAATGAGCACTCAGCCAAAACTGAGAGCCAGTGGGTTTTATAGCTCAAGCTGTAGAGGCTCCTACACTACACTACAGAGGCCCCAGGTTTGATACTATCTGCAGGCAGTTAAAAGTGGGGTCTTGTCTGGGATCTCAACCGGGTCTTTGAAACTCGGGGTGCACTTCCTAAAGCTAGGGGAAGTATGAGCTATAAAGCTGTGAGCCTGAACTTGGGGACAAATTCATACTTCTGAGCTGGGTAATGACCAATTGTTGGGTTTACAGTTTATTTCTATTTGTTTATTTGTAGGCCCAAGGCCTAGAATAGTATGATATTGGTCTGGACTGCATCCATTGTGTCACTACAAGTTGAGCCTTTGATTAGGCAATTGTATGTGTGCCATTACTACTGCTAGGGTTTTGAAGAAGACTCTTAGTACGCTGGTTAGGTTGAATGGTAGTACTCTGTATGGGAAGTGCAATTGTCCTACCCTGAATTGTAAGGATTTTCTGTGAACCGGGTGAATGATTATAAAAAAATACGAACCTGGAAGACAAAGGCCAAAAACCAGTCCTCTTCTTGCAGCACAGAGAGTATTATACCCAATGTGACCATCTTGAACTTTTCAGATCTTATGAATTTGTTGAGTTTTCATAGATCCAGGATGGGTCTCCATCTCCTGTTCCTCTGGGTCAGCCAATAGTGTGAATAGAAACCCTTTCCTTCTGAATTGTGGTGGTACCTATTCCATGACACCTACTAGTAGAAAACGATTGACTTATAATAATAAGTGCTCATGAGAAGGGTCCCTGAAGAGCAACCAGGAAGGGGGTCGGGTAGGTGGCAGGAAGATGAAGGGGATAGTACATTCCAGTTTGATTATTTCCAGCAACCATTGTTCTGATGTTATGGTGGCCCATAAGTGATAAAAGAAAGCACTGCAGATGATGTCCAAAGATAGGTGATGTGTTCGGTATGAAAGCTGTCTTATGAGGGAATTCATTCAATCCTTCAATCAAAATTTCAAAATTGCAATCTAAGATGGAGACTTAAGGTGGAAATGTTAGCCTGCCTTATGATCATTGGTGCTGACTTTGGTTGTCATATGGTCTAGTAATTTGTTGTCTGTTGTTTGAAGAGTCCTGGTCCTAACTCATGACATATTTCCTTCTCTTTGCAAAGGGTGTATAAATCCCTAATATGCAGAGTGTGCCTCTGGAGTCTTTCATAGAGTGAAGCACCTCATCTGTCTTCTGAGCAAACAGGTGTTCTCGATCATAAAGTAAGTCTTCCACTTTTGTCTGGCGCTCCTTTGATATTCCTGATGTCAGGAACCATGATACCGAGTGCATTACCAAAGCTATTGCTGTTTTTCTTGCAACTGTGTCTGCTATGTCCAAAGATGCCTAGACTGCAGTTTTGGCTATAAGTTGGCCCTCATTTATGATGGCCTGGAATTGTGCCTGTTTCTCCTCTGGCAGCCTGAATGTGAATGTTGTGAGTTTTCCGTAATCATATTTGGAAAACAATGATGAATAATTGGCCAGTCAAAATTGAAGGGTGCCATAAGACTATACGTTATACCTGAACAGAGCAAGTTGTTTGTACTTTTTATCTTGAGGCATAATCTTGAATTGCGGTTCTTTATTATGGTAGTTTACAGCTTGGATAACTAGAGAGTTGTGGGGGTGAATATGCAAAAAGTAGGCAGAATAGAAGCTGGTGTCTGCCAGATCCTGGATCTCCACAGGATCCAAGATAGCCTCATTGATGGAGAAGAAATCTTGGAGGTAGAAGATGGTTGCAATATTTGCATTAACTTGTACTGGTTTGTCTTTATCTTCTCTAATGGGATCTTTTGGGTTGTGTGACTCTATTGAACAGCTCTTGGAACTGTTTAACATGGTCCACCAAAGTTAATGGGGGGCATAATCATTTCATCTGGGAATGAAGAGTTGTGCAAAAGAGATGTGTCTTGGACTCTACCTATCTTAGTATCCTCTGCGCCTCTTGTGTTTCTGAAGATTGTGGTATGGTAGGCACAGTAAGAGTACAGTTCATATTTTAGCTCAGTGGACTTTTAGACTGGTGTCCTCTATATGAGCTCCAAGACTCCCAATGTGCCCATTGTACTGTGAAGTCCATGGGAGAGTACATCCATGGTGGTCCATACCAGTGTTGGTTCATATGATAGCTTGGATCCATATGTCTCCATGCTAGTCAGTAGATTTCAGGGGAGGAGTGGCATGGGGATGTCAGTTATTGCCCCTGTGCGTCCTCCTCTTCATCACTAGAGAATCATGCTATGTCTTGAGGCTGTGAGCTCTGATAGGAGCTTGTCAAGTAGCCCTGCGCACCAAGAGTAGGTGACTGCAGTACTGATAATATTTCTAAGTAGCAGAGACAGTATTGGTGCTGCTTTCTGGGAAGTGAGTGCTGCACTTCCCAGAAGTCTTTCCCTTCTGTGATGGGGTCAGTGCCAGCTGATGTTGCTGTTTGTTCTGGGCAATGTCCCATACCAAGTGCCAAGTCCCATACAAGTGAGTTTGGTGCCATCAAGGAGGCATGTTTTTGTCTGTGTCTCAACTCCTTCTCTCTCGTTCTGCCTGTGACATTGCCAGAGGTGCCAAGAGGTGCTCACACAACAGTAAGATGACATTGGGTGTAGGCAACCTTGTAGGAGATTGCCTCTGTTTTATGGTACTTTTTTGCAGAGACATCTCGTTTTTGGTTTTCCAAAATGAAGGTCTCCTTTTCTATCTTAAGGCTGTTTGTTCACCTCTGGCTGGAGGGACTTTTCCATCAAGATCATTTTCAGCTGGAGACTCCTGTCTCGGCAGGGTCTGGCTTTCAGGTTGCTGAAGTGGGGGCATTTCTATGGAATATACCCCTCACCCAAGCAGCATACCCATAAAAAGTGCCTGTCTGAAACCTTAAGGGGAGGTTTTTGAATGGACTAATAACAAAATGCTTATTTTT